CAAAACTTGCAGTTCATTGAATGTATGGCCACTATGCAACTAGGCAGTAGTGGCCATACATACAGTAGTGACTAGGAGGTTGCTAGTCCCCAGCCCAGGAGGATGGGTGGGTAAAGTGAAAGGGCGGTGCCTGCTCCTCCCTCATTACCACCGCTACACAAATGGTGCCCATGAGCAAGGCCCTTATCCCCCAACTGCTCCAGTGGAGCTGCATGGCCTTCACCATCAGACCAATTTGGTCTGTAAAAACAGTGAAACTCAGCAGGATTAAAGAAGGCTTTTAATAATAAAACTAAAGTCTAGCCTAACCTATCATAAAGCAGGCCTGGTGGTGAAATGGAATGACTGTGCCATAACCCTAGAAACAGTCTCCGATTAACTGTCACACCTACTCATCTGGAAACAAGATCAATAGATAGTTTCTTTATGGTCTTTTCCAGGAAATGTGTTGCCACAGTCTGTACACAGCATGTGCCAAAATACATTAGAAGCAACACAGAAAACATACATATCTACATATCTCTAAAAAGCTTTTTCATGAGGTCAGAAAAACAGCCTTGTTTTCAGATTTGTGACGATGCATTTTCCAGTTAATCCAAGAGGGTTTTTAAATAGTTTATTTAGCTTAAGGAGAATTTTCTCAGCAAATAAAGAAACACTTAATCCTTCCGTTTATCAAACATTCAACACCAAATGTGGAGATATGTGGTTTTCACTAGACAGGAAGGGTCTGAAAAATCACAACCTGAAAAGTAACTAAAGCTGTCGGAGTAAAAATACAATAATGTAGGTGTAGTAGAGTACAAGTATTAAGTCGCATAAAAATGGAAATACTCCAGTAAAGCACAAGTATCAACTGTACTTAAATACAGTGCATTATTTGAGTACATTTATTTTAGTTACACTGAACCACTGCTGCTAAATCTGACAGCATGCAGTTCACTTGGTGACTAAATTAAATCAGCTTTTTACTGCAAACTGCAGCTGAACATACATCTGTTCCTGTCCAACCTCCAGTTACCAGACTGCCTTCAGAGGAGGAATCAGCCTTTGAGGAGCCATCAGCAGCCGTTATGAGCGACAGAGGAGATGTGTGCACGGATTCTTAGCTTTATGATTATTATTGCTGGCACTCGCTCAGATTCTACCCTGTGCTGCTAACAGTGGAGTCGGTGCGAGGAGGCGAGGAAGGAATGAGAGTGTATCGAGCGCCAACAAAAGGATGGAGAGAGGCTTGCAGCAGGAGCATCAAACAGTTCGAGGGGTCGCATCGCAGTGAAGCCTTGTTTTCCCAACCAGAGGAGCTGAAGAAAGAAGTTTGAACCTCGCAGCCAAAATAAAGTTTTACTGTCGAACAGAGAGGCCGAACCTGTCCTCTTCATAACCCCGGATCGTAAAACAGCGCTATCAGCCAGAGCCCCTGCCCGGCTCTGCGGCTCTGCCTTGGCACTCAGGTGGTCTCCCATAACTCACACCCTCTCACCCCAATGCTTCACACTGAGACGGCAGTCAAAAATATTCAGACCGAGCAGCATGCTGCCCTAAAATTTATGAACAGTAGTTAGCCAGGCGATTTATGGCATCAGTGCGACCCTGACACCCTGGCTAGTGACTTCTGAGATGGTCTATCCAGATGCCTGCCTGCCTGCCTGCCTCCTGCATGGGCCCTCTCTTCCACAGTATCACCATGACCGGCAGAATAAAAATAAATTAACACTGTTATTCTTTGTTTTCTGCTGAAGACGACGAGGGGAGAAGACGCTTTGGAAAGTGCTGCTTGACAGAGGAATGTGAGAGGTTGAAAATGACTTTCCAAGACGTCTGATAGTTGTGTTTGCAGTGCTGCATTCTGGGAATGATCAACTGACAACTTACAACTTATTCAGTGAAAAGGTCTCTGCTTTTTCCCTGCTGCTCATTCTGATGAAAAGTACCTGCCAGAATCCGGCAACGCTCTTCTTTAAGCACTTCACATTCAGACACAACCAGTGACGCAAACGTCTCAAACGATTCACGTTGATGCCACTTGTTTAGTGATGCCTTTACTTACATCTGAGCTGAGTGTCTTTCCTCCAAGTAATTAGTAATTACAAGAAAACTCCAAGGAACGATCTTTTTAAACAATAAAAAATGCCTTTATTATCATGGCATGGTCGAGTTGAGTTTTATGTCATATGTGTTAATTTAGTTTGCAACCATATGAGATTTTCAAAATAACCCTCTCAGGAAATATATACTATTTATATTTTATTTATTTATTTATTTATTTATTTATTTATTTATTTATTTATTTTTATTACATTATATTATTATTATAGTATTATATTAGTAGTAGTATTATATTAGTAGTAGTAGTAGTAGTAGTAGTATTAGTAGTAGTAGTAGTAGAAATGAGCCTTGGTAACAGGGTTTTTTTTGGGTTGAACAAACACTTTATTATCATTTTAATTTCACAAAATATTGCTATATTTTTAATAGCATTAATAGAGGAGAATTCAATAGCATAGCAAATGCTAACTGCTGTATCATAACAGTCAATTTTCATACCACAGTTATACCATGGTATCGGTATACCTCTGCAACCTATGAGTGAAATATGCAGATGTCTGAATGATGTTGCTTCCGGCATTCACACCAATAAAGGAAAACTGGTCAAATATGCACAAAAATCTAACCTACGACACATTAATGTATGCTATTTCAATCTGTTGCATATCTGCAAATATATAAGAAATG